AACGTTTGACAATGTATATGATAGATACATATTTTAGTTATTTTAATATGAGAACAAGGCATGCAATGAACTAGTTTGGCGTGGATAAGTAAGCACCTGAAGATGGCATTATTATGCCGAAACATGTAGTGCGAGGGAGAGAAGGAGATAAATGAGTGTATGCACTGCAAGACAGTTTAAATAAATCATGGACTTAAATCAGTGCAACAGGACGCTAAAATATAACCTTTCTACTATCTCTGTGTGTTGCCTTCAGAAAACCTGTGGAATCGGTGTTGTAATAAAAGAAGCCTTTTACACTTTCTTGCCAACAAATATGATGAAAGACAATCCTGCAAATGATCTCAGGATTTCACGCTTTGCCTTTCACAGTCCTTCTCTGTGTTGTCCTAGAATTTATTTTGCATTAGAAATTCCTTTACAATGTAAATGTTGTTTCTTCTCTTGGGGAAACCTCCTTACACACATTACAACAAAATTTTTTGACTTCTTTCCTGCAATATAAAACTCAGTAGTAGATTCTGGCATGCAAACTTCATTACATTTTCTGTAACAAAATATGCTTTACTAATTATTTACAATATTAACACATTACAAGTACTAAATATATGATACCCCTGCTTTCCATACAGGTTTATAAAAATAATACTTTTGGGTCTTAATCATGTCACTCAATTTAAATTATCTAAATAAATGTAAATTTCTGTTTATTCTTCTCATATTAACATTATAACGCCATACTGTTGTGTATTTAACTGACATGCAGTATATACTGAAATGTTAATAAACTGAACATAAGTGATTTTCTTGCATTATCAGCTCTGTACATAATTGCAAAAATTCAGCTCTTATAAATAACTCCAGTTTAGCAATTGTTCTCAATTTAACCTCTTTTATAGTCAAAAATTGTTCTCAATTTAATCCCTTTTATAGTCGAACATTTCTATGGTATGGCATCCTTGTCAGGCCACTTATTTTTGCAACATTAAAAACATTGTGACTGTTAAGTTTTCTGAATGGATTTGGTGGTATTTAAGAATAATAATAATGTATTTAACATCCATAACTGTTACACAGGCACAATTGGGCAAGTCAGTTGAAAACAGCCAAACACTACATGTCAACAACTCTTACGAAATGTACAAAACATTATATAAGACAATGTACAATACAATACCTATTTGATCAATATTCCCTTACTATAGCTTATCAACCATGATGACAACTCCCAGCAGTTCATTATTAAACAATAAATATACTTAAACCACCAAAAACACAAGATCAAGTAAAACAAAGCATCATACGTTTAGTGAAGATAACAGTCCAAAGACCATCTATATACTTCCACATCATATTGAAACTAACTCAAATTACCAAACTACCATCTATCATTGTTACTAAAAAAACTCTTGTTGAGAATAAAAACAGTTTTGTAAGAAATAACTTTTTAATTTATTTTCAAAACCTTAATATTTCCTATTCTTTTTAATAAAGGGTAAGCTAGTAGGTATTTTTATTCACATGTTAATTACACTATTTTACAACGAGCAGTGTTGCATAATTGGACAAACAAATCCTGTTTCCCTTTTGTGTTATACTTACAAATATCAGAATATTGAGCCATATATATATATAATCTTATTCTTCTTTATAAAGCACAAGATCTCAATTACATATAATGAAGATACAGTTAAAATCTTAAAATCACCAAACAAACTTCTATAAAACACCATGTTCTTAACTCCTTTATTAAGTCTTAGACCTTTTTTCTGTAATTTGAATACTGCATTACTGTCACTTTCTCCCCCCCCCCCNCCCCCAAAATATAATACCATATTTTAATATAGATTATAGACAGTAATTTTCATCAAAATTCATTGATTAGTTCCAAAGTTGAAATGTGGGCAAATGGATAGACACAATTTCACTAAACTTTGTGCAAAGAATACCTATGTAACAGGACACATCACTGTGAAGTCTATATGGAAAACAGAAAAGAAATGTTGAAATTACTATTCAATTATTGATTATACACTAGATACCTGTCATTTTTATACATAATACTTTTTCCTTTCTGCAGAAATGGGCGAGCCACAGCATCAAAAACTTCAAAACACATGAAAAATACGCCGATCCCATTAAGGAGGGGTGAGCACACATTCACACACACACACACACACGTGCACACAAACACACACAAATTCAGAAATTATTAGACCTTACCAAATCTGGAAAATCAGATAATAAGATTGATAATTCACAAGTGAACATGCAAAATGGTACTTGAGATTTTGGCAGCACACTCCTCAGGTTAGCTGTGGTTTCATAAGGACATATCTGTACAGTACACAATGTGGATTTAGAAAGTGTTGGGTGCTCTGTACATAACTCACAAATATACAGTATTAATCAAAATATATATTTACACTGATTTTGAGAATCCATAAAGCCTATTTTCCTGCTGCACACACTTCTGGACCTACAAATCTTGTGTTCTTAATGTTACATTTAGGCAGCATAAATTTACAATCTAACCATAAAATGCACTTTAGCTTTTGCCATGCTGCAATTACATGTAGATGGATTGATCCAGCAATATTACTAAAAAGTAGGTGAACACTTCTGAGTGATCTGAGGTTCTCACACAGGTGGTTATGAACAGTTCTATCTTCAGGGATATAACACCACGTAGTCTGCTGAAAGTCAGCTGACATTTTGGAGGAACATGTCATCTCCATCTTCAGGGTTGAAAACAAGTCAAGCGTGAAACAGGCATGAAGTGCATACAAAGCTTTGCTTGGCTTATTCTTGGACACTGAAGATGGAGGCAAGATGTTCCTCCGAAATGCAAGTTGACTATACGGAATACAGAGTGTTTCATGACTTTAGCGCATAACTGCAGGAGGTGATTTCCTAGGTCTTTGTGATCAAAAAAGTTCATATAAACATGTGTCCAATTTTGGACAGTTACGGAGTTATGACCGTTTTTTCATTCCTGTACATGCCCTCGTGTGAACCGTGGCTGTCAGCTGGCGGGTCGCTATTTTTAGCCAACTACAGACAGAGCGTTCTCGTTATCTCGATACTTGAGAGCTACCTAAGGCGAGGGGGGGTTGGTATGTCAGGCACAGTTCACAACGGAGCAGTAGCTTGTGTTGTGGCCGGCAGTGGCATTTTCGAAAATCAGCTTTAAGCACCAATAAATTCAAATTAAAGGTAATTTCACGAAGTTAACTTTACACTCATACTTTAAATGTATCATGTATTATGCTGGTTTATTATTTTGTTCCGTTTATTGTCAGTAATCGTTACCTTTTATTCTTAGTTTTGAAATGGTCATAACTCCGTAACCATCCAAAATCGGATACATGTTTATATGAACTTTTTTAATCACAAACACCTAGGAAATCACCTCCTGCAGTTATGCCTTAAAGTCGTGAAACATCCTGTATATGACATTACATCCCAGAAGATGTAACTCTTCAAATTTTAGCTTCTGCTGTGAATTTAAAGGTCTCTGCAGATTACTCAGTATGAAAGAGGCCCAGTTTTCTCTTCTGTGTTAGAGTCTGTAAGGCAAAGGGTTTTGTGGACTCATGCTATATAGTGTTGAGCTACCACTCAGCTTGGAGCTGATAACACAAAGATAGGTAATATGAAAGCTCATATGCTAGGTGGTTCAAATATGACCGGGACTGATTTTTTTGTAAACAAGCCGCACTGCGCAGCAGCTGTGCGACCTTGAGAGATTGTAGCCACAACCTCCACTCTCCCTCCTGTTCGGGTTAGAACCTGTTCGGCTCTGTCTGGAAGTTGCTAGAGTGATGAGTGAATAGAAGGTACCGCGGAGTGTGGAACAACGCATAGTGATCAAATGCCTCGTTGGAGAAAACGTCCCGTCCACTGAAATTCACCACAGACTCCAACAACAGTATGGGAAGAATGTCTCTCATGGACCCATGTGTTTGAGGGGTGTAAGTGCTTCAGAGAGGGCAGAGAGCGCGTGGAGAATGAACCACATGATCGTCGGCCGCGAACATCCATCACCAAGCCAAACATTGATCATGCAGACGCACTTATTCGTGAGAATAGGTGCATCACTATCAAGGAACTTGGAGCAATGCTGTCCATCAGTGTTGGTAGTGTAGAAGACATTGTGAAATATCACCTGCACTATCACAAGGTGAATGCATGGTGGGTACCACGCACTTTGACGGACGTGAACAAAATGGTGCGCATGCAAGTTGCCAGTCGTCTCCTACAGCAGTTTGAAGACGAAGGTGATGCATTTTTGAAGTCTATAGTGACCACCAATGAAACGTGTGTGCACTACTTCATTCCCGAGTCCCAGCAATCACCACGCAAGTGGCGGCATACCAGTTCTCCCAAACCCAAGTGAGTGTGGAGGAGCCGTTCGGCAGGAAAAGTGATGGCAACGTTCTTCTGGGACTGGCAGGGGGTTATCCTTGTAGACTTTCTGACAGATGCCAGAATAGTCAATGCAGCTTATTACTCAGACCTCCTGGCAACAGACGTGAAGGAAAAGATCCAATCCAAGCAGAAGAGAGATGGAAAGCGGGTAGCCTTCCTTCAAGACAATGCACACCCCCATACAGCCAAAACAACAATGGAAACCGTCCAGAAATTGAAATGGAACCTTCTGACATAACCACCGTACAGTCCCAATTTGGCACCAAGTGATTTCTACCTGTTCGGAAGGCTCAAATCAGACTTGCAAGGCATGCGGTTTGTGGATGACGCCATCATCCGGACTGTTCTGGTGTGGATACGCCTCCAACCACAAGCCTTTTTTGAAAAGGGCATCTGGATGCTTCCAGAACGTTGGATAAAATGTGTTGACTCTGGAGGGGTGTACGTTGAAGACTGACATGTGCAAGTAAGTGTTTGGCAATTNTTTGGTTTAAAAAAAAATCAGTCCCGGTCATATTTGAACCACCTTGTATTTGGGAGTGAGAGTAACAAATTATGAAGAAATCAAGAGCAGATTAAACTGAGTGAATGTTTGCTACCAGTCAGGTCAGAATATTTTATCTGTCTGCTATCTAAATGTGTAAAGATTAAAATACACAAAACTATAATGTTATCTTGTATGGGCGTAAAACTTGGTCCCTCACATTACTAAGGGGGGAAAAATAGAAAATGACAAGTGTCTGAGAATTGCACTGAGGAGAAAAAGACAGAGATAATAAGAGCAGGATGGATACAACTGCATAACAAGAAGTACTTTTCACCAGATATTAAAGGATGATCACATCAAGGACGATAAGCAGGTCATATAGTATTCATCAGAGATGAGAATTTTGGTCAGATTATCTGAAGGGAAGAAATCACTTAGGGGAGAGGGACATAAGTAAGAGAGTATTATTAAAACGACTCTCAAAGAAGCAAGGAGACTGTAGACGGGATTCACAGGCTCAGGTCACTGGCCGATGGCAGGTTCTTGTGAAAGCAGTAATAAACCTTTCAGCTCCATGAAAGTCAAATACTTTCTTGAGTAGCTGATCAACTATCAGCACCTCAAGAATGACTGCTCCATTGAGACAGTTAATTATTTGTATATAATCAATACTAAGGTCTGCTTACATTCAGTACAGAGAATCAGGTTCTTTTACAGTGACACACGTCAGCAACAGAGAATGTGAATCGAACCTACCTTCTTTACACAGAACATATTTCTTTTTTATCCAGTGGCTGACATATGTTCATTCTAACTTGCTCACTCACCTACTGCAGATCATGATAGAATAATTTAATTAAAGCAACACCTTCATAAGAAGAGAATCAAGATTCCACTTTTACCTTTGTTACAATCATTAAAATATACTAATATGAGTGCAAACAAATTAACTACACATATCCAAATGACGGTACTCCACGATTGATGACATGTGGAATTTTACGAGGAACCACACTGAAACAGGAAACATAAATTTAATTTATTGTATAAAAAGGTAAAATCAAAAATGATGAATACAATATACAAAGTTGGGTACCAAATATATACGATGGGGTACCCAAAAGAAACCGAACTAATTTTTTTGTGGGCAGAGCTTCTGTAGTACCGCGTTTTGCCGCTATGAGCGCATAGAGCTAACATTCCTGAGTCGATAAGACGACTACCGTTGCTTCAGAAGTTAAGGACTAGTTTCGGCAGCGTTTATAGTGACAACTGTTTTCTGTGATCGTCGTTTTTGCAATGGCTGATTTTCGTGAACAGCGTGCGGCTGTGAAATTCTGCTTTTTGCTCGGGAAAAGTGGAACAGAAACTCTTGAAATGTTAAAAATGGCGTACAAGGACGATGCTATGGGGAAAACTCAAGTGTTTGAGTGGTTTTCCCATTTCAAAAATGGTGAAATGTCAATTGATGACAAACCTCGTTCTGGTTGTCCTTCCACGGTCCGAACACATGAAAATGTTGAAAAAATTCGTGAAATCATCAAGGAAGATCGATGACGGACCATTGAAGAAATTGTGGAGCTGTCGGGAGTGACTTGGAGCTCAGCGGCCAGATTTGTGGAAGTCGGGTGACTGGTTTTTCCATCATGACAATGCCCCTGCTCACACAGCCCTGTCTGTACGACAATTCTTGACCAAAAATGGTATGACTCCTGTTCCTCACCCGACCTTGCCCCGTGCGACTTTTTTTTGTTTCCTCAAATGAAAAGAGACATGAAAGGAAAAAACGACGGAGGTTCTGTCAAGCATCTCAAAAAATGAATCTAGACAATGTTTTGAAAAATGGAATAAAAGACTAGACAAGTGTATTAGTGTAAGTGGAGAGTACTTTGAAGGGGATTGAAGGTTTGTGCTTAAAATTTGAATAAATAAGTTTAAAAAAAAATAAGTTCGGTTTCTTTTGGGTACCCCCTCGTAAACTACAACAATTCATAATATATGTGGGGAGAAGCAACAAGAAACTGAGGTCCGTTATTCATTTGGTAATGGACATGCAGAGAAAAAACATGATAGTGAAGGATGCATGAGGATACCTAAAGCTGGGCAGTGAACTGATCATTTTCTTGTTTCTAGATTTATGGTGGTTTGAAGACAAAATGAAACAAATTGAAGCAGATAAGTCAGATAATTTATATTATGTAGAGAAATCTAGATATTAAGTGGCATTAATATAGCAAGAGAGTATGAGGAAACTGTATCAGGATAGACTAAACAGAAAATTAAATTTGTGGACAGAATCTAAAGCAAATCAAGAAACAGTATGAATATACGACGAAACATATTTAGAAGACAGCTTTGTGAACCATTAGAATATAAAAAAAGAAAATAAAAATATTAAAACTAATTTAGTTAACAAATAAATACACTCATTAAAAACAAAACAACAAGAGAAAAACTGTTCACAGAAGAGTTATGAAAAACATAGCCTCTTCATTAATGACCACTTATTTAATACATGTTCTCTTCTCTGCCTTATCCCATTTCAGGCACAGTTCAATTTGTCTGTCAGGCCATCGGTTTTTTGTCTATGCACTGAACTACTCAATTTTGGAATGAAATTTAATACTTAAGCTTAACATTAAACTACCTAGCAAAATTTAATTTTGACCAACCACTCTCAATTTCAATATTCCTTTACTAACATCTATTATACAAGACACTAGCAATGAAATTCTGAAGTATACATAGATTATGTTTATGTACAAAAGTTAGGAGCTTTTCACAATAGGGATAAAATACATTTACTTAAAAAAGTTGATAAGAACATTTAGACCATTGGTTCTCAATCTTTCTGATAACATAACCACCAAGATAATGAAACAAATTTACCTGAGCTCCCCCTCACCCCCCACATGATTTATGATGACAGAAGGAACACAAATAGTTTCACAACCTCTGTAAACCTACAGTAAATCTTACTGACTTTACAGAAGTTTTCGTGGATATAACTATATTTTAAAGAATTCCTACAAAGCCAGTGACCCCCCTTAGATGAACTCCCAGGGGGTCATGACCCACAGTTTGCGAAACAATTATCTAGGCAATATGCCAATAGACTTATTATCAAAATTTAATTTAATTTACTGTCCACAAAGAAGAAGAGATGCTGGCAAACCTCATAAATGCTTTCTTAAAGATCAAACAGACTTATAGCCTTGAAATTAAAAGGAAGCAGATAAATGTGAGCCGTTCACATAAATGTAAAATAGTCCATAAAACTGATCTACCAGAACCACATCTACTTCAGCGATTCCTAAGCATATGTAGGCTACCTGATGCAGTCAATTATAGGACACACAGATAGGCAGAGAATGCAGCCTGTGCAGTCATCAGTCACAGTTGGAATGTGTGTCTCTGGGTCAAATGTAATGGCCTGGTATCCGGAATCATTGCAAGCCATATAGCATTTCCCACAGTTAATACACAAGTCCTGTAAATCAAAGAAAACAATGTCAATATTCATACTGTGTGAATTAACAGTCTCACTCACAGCAATGTATAAAATGTTCCCTGGTCAGTCCTGCGGGTAAAGTCAGCTGAAAACATGACAATGGCCATCAACCACATATAGTGTCATGTCTAAAATATCTGGAGCTTTATCACCCAAGATGCCTCTGTGGAACAGTGTTTATTCACCTTTTACCTTCAATATAACCTTATCACACAACGCACCGCGGCTTCATCAATAAACACAAATATACCTCAAAAAAACATACAACCCATAGTACACCCGCAGCGGCCAAGTTATGCCGAAGTAACCAAACAAAACATAATCCAGACAGAAGACACACACAGTGAACCGTGCAACGGTTCTTCTCCGTGAAGTTCCTTGGAGTCCCCCCCCCGAAACGCCAGGATGCGAGCCGTTCCTCCTTCTTTCCACTTAAAGTCTTAGCTGACGTCAGGTGAGCTGACC